TAGAATAGAATAGAATAGAATAGAATAGAATAGAATAGAATAGAATAAATATTGGATGTAGAACAGAATAGGGTAGAGTAGAGTAGAATAGAGTAAAGTAGAGTAGAGTAGAGTAGAACAGAATTGAATAATAACTTTACTGTCACTTGAATGTACGCTAATCGACATACATTAAAGTGGAATTTTGTTGCATACAGCATACAAGAGTCACCACCTCCAATTTTACACTACATAAACATGACAAAACAAATGAATATAAAATTATGCATGTACCCACATATATTACATAACACAGAGAAACAACACAGTCTAGTTCAGAGTTTACCAGACGAATGGCATAGGGAACAAAGCTGTTACAGAATCTGGCAGTCCTGCTAGAAATACTTTGAATCCTTGAAGTAGGATTCTTCAAGGGGATCAACACAAACACACCATGAAGTGGGTGGGTGGGGTCTCCAACAATGCTTTGTGCTCTAAGCACAGAGCGCTTATGAGCAGCATCCTGAATAACGGGAAGCGAGTTTCCTATTATCTTCTCAGCTGTCCTCACCACTCTCTGTAGGGACTTTCTACCTGAGGGCACCGCTGCCACCAAACCAGACAGCGATGCAGTTCGTTATACATTATGTTACGCTGTACATAGTATTATGAAGAGTTGATGAGTTAAGAGTTTCTTAAATAAACCGGAATTCGATGCAGCTTCAATAGCAGTGCTAGCGTGAGAAAATCACATGCCGATCAAGAACGGGAAATCGGGGAATATCCAGCACTTCCAATGAATCCATACGCTTATTGCATGCTAACGCTCTCCACAAGAATCTGGACTACTAATGGTCAAGGCAAATTGGCGGCAGGTAAGAGTCAACGGAATTCAGGGTGGGCTGGACTTAAGATCTCTTGTAGGACCGAAGCAATTCCAAACTGATGGCGTGTTTGGGCTCTGCCTGGTCACCTCCCACAATACCTGACTTATAAACATACATGAAGCTACATTTCATATAGCATCAATTTCCAGGTGATCTTGAAGGACAACCTCCTATATCCCCAAGGTCTAAATCCTGCCCTTTTATCCCCACATTTCTCTGAGTCTCTGGATATTTGGCCAATTCTCCTCTCGTCCTCGAGATTGGGAAGCAGCGGCTTGATATTCACCCGATAGTTCTGTCGGGCCTAAAGCCCACCGCTTCCCACTTCCCCCCTCCCCTCGCTTCAAGGACTTAGGGATGCCTTACCTTGCAATCTTCACAGCATAATTCATTACTGCACACGGCTCCCCGCTGAAACGTACAACTGCTGGTACAACATTTGCTCCTCTTGCAATGCTGAAAAACACAATCGTGAGACGGTTGTCCCAAAGGTGTTTTTTTTTTTGTTTTTTCAAGAGGCAGCCGGAACCGTCTTGGTTCTTCTTTGAAGATGTTTCGCTCCTCCTCCAAGAAGCTTCTTCAGCTCTGACTGGAGGGTGAAGAAGCTTCTTGGATGAGAGGCGAAATGTCTTTGAAGAAGAACCAAGACGGTTCCAGTTGCCTCTCCTCTTGAAAAAAAGCACCTTTGGGATGCGCTGTTAAGGCATTTCACTTCTTGATAAAGAAGAAAGCTGCAACTTTAAGGTATTTAAAGGAGAAGAAGAACCGAGGAAGAGGAGGAGAAGAAGGAGGAGGAGGAAGGAGGAGGGGAGGAGGAGGAGGGGGAGGAAGGAGGAGAAGGAGAAGGGGGAGGGGGAAGGAGGAGGGGAGGAGGAAGAGGGGGAAGAGGATGGGGAAGGAGGAAGAGGGGGAAGGAGGAGAAAGGAGAAGGAGGAGGAGAGGAGGGGAAAGAGAAGGAGGAGGTGGGGGAGGGGTACATGGGGGGGGAGGAGGGGGAGGAGGAAGGAGGAGGGGAGGAGGAGGAGGGGGAAGAGGATGGGGAAGGAGGA